AGAGCAACCACACTTACAACCTTTTTCTAGGAATTGAAGTGCTTGATTGTATTCACTAAAATTATTAATATATTTACGATTTTGTCTCATAAATATATTTTACTTACTTTTACTTAATTTAATAAAACATGTCTCATATGATGCGATTAAGAAAGAAATTAGAAAAAGAATTAAAGCTCGGGAGTTATTGAAGGAAGAATTAGAGGAGAAGGATGATAAAAATAAAGAGTTAGAAAAAGAATTATTAATTGTAGAACAATTAAAAAAAGATAACAAATCTTTGCGGGAACAATTATTGGAGCCGTGGGGTGGTAGATTAGTTCAAAAGTTAGAACTTGAAAAGAAAGAGTTGGCAGAATTAATAGACAATGTTGAATATGAATTGATGGAAGGGTCTAATTCTTCTCAAAGACAAGATTTAAAAGAGGATTTGGAAAAATTATTAGAGGCACAAAGTAAATTAGTATGAAGTGGCAAAAATTCTGGTAGTTATGCTTCTCAGTATATTCAATATATAAAAGAAACGATTAGTCGTTATTTCAAAAATGCTAAGAAAATAGAAGAAATTTGTCAAAAACAAGTAGAAATCACAAATTTAGAAGTTCGTTTGCGTAGGTTGAAAGAGATAGATGCTAGAAACATTCTCTTAATTGGTCGTACCGGTAGTGGTAAATCTACCTTGGCTAATGTATTAAGTAATTCTAACAAGTTTGAAGAAAGTGATGGTAGTGTTAGTAAAACTAGAGACATTCAGTTGGGAGAATTTGAAGAAAAAAATATTCTCTATAAAGTGATTGATACCGTCGGAATTGGCGATACTGAATTGTCCGAACAAGAAGTTTTAGATAAAATAGCCGAAACCGCTTATTATTCAAGAAAAGGAATCAATCAAATACTGTTTGTCGTTAAAGGAAGATTTGATAAAACAAAAATAGCTGCTTATAATTTAGTGAAAGGTGTTTTCGCAAAGGATAAGGATATTAGTGATTATATTACTATTGTAAGAACTGATTTTTCCAATTTTCGTGATGAAACCAAGTGTAAGGAGGATATTAAAGAAATGATTGCTAATGGTGGTGAATTATCAGAGATAATCAAAGAAGCTGACCAAAAAGGGAGAATTATTCATGTAAATAACTATGATAAACAAGTTGAGGAATTTAAAATTTATGAAACTAGTAATACTTTGTCTTTTTCTAGTAATTATCAGTATGTTTTTGGTTCTTTGTCTGAAAAGAAAAGTCAAAATAATCCAAAAGTCCCTCCCAAGACACCACCAAAAAATAATAATCCCTCACCTAATCAAGAACTACAAAAAGAGCCAGGAATTTTAAAAGTAGTTTTAATAACCGGTGGAATTGTGGCAGGATTAGTTTTTTTGGCCTTTGTTTCTTATTATTACAAAAAAAAAAAAAAAAATAAGTTCTGCTTCGTTGAAAGTTTTAAATCAAGGAGCAAGAAGGATTAACAAGCACTATTCCAATAAACAAAAGGTTAATTAAAGAATGGAGTAAAATGGGAGATAACAAGTTTCAATTACTTTTTTTGTAAATATAAATTAGTCCAAAACTAGCCAGTGAATATTGTAAAAATAATACTCCCATATTTTCCCCTCGCCAACAATAATGAGCCAAAATGAAAGCCAAAAAAGAAATCAAATAAGAAAGAGGATTTTTTTTGCCAAAAATATTAAAAACGAAATAACGATAAACACATTCCTCAATAATCGGAGCAAAAATACAAAGTCCGAAAAAAATTCGAGTTAAACGCCAGAAACTATTTTTATTAGTATTGATAGCAACAACTAACTCCTTTATTTTGTCCGCTTGATAAGGAAAAAAATATTTCAAAACAAAATGAATGATTGCCAAAAAGAAAAGAAAATAAACTACTTGCCAAAAAATTTTTAGTTTCTCCTTGGCAAGTGAGCAATAAATCCTTTTTCCTTCCTTCTTAATTATCAAGCATACTAACAAAAAGCAAAGAAAAGCATTAAAAGAAAAAATTCGCCAAAAATTATTTTGAACCCAGGTTGACAAATCAAAGTGAAACATCTTAATTACTCCTTAAATTATTTTTAGTCCCAATAATGCTTATTAAATTCAATTTCATAAGGCTTGCCGCCTTCTCATTTAAAAATAATTCGATATTGGTCGTTAACTTTTAACCGGTAAAAGCCTTTTTTATTGCCTTTCATTGGCTTTAAATCCTCACCAAACACTTCTTTCAGTTTTTCGAGATTATGCCCGAAGTTCGCTAATATAACTAATTCTCGCAAGGCTGCCCTTTGAATTTCCTGACTCAACCCTTTTTTTCAAAAAATCACGTTGGCAAATTCTTTTGGCGACTTTAACTTTAATTAGTTTTTCGGTTCATTTCCCCCAAAAATTCTTGTAAATCAAAATAAAATAGGACAATAAACAGGGAAAAGAGAAAAACCATTGCCAAAATAAAAAGCGTTAATTTAAATCAAGAAACTTTCTTTTTCTTTATTAAATGTTTTCCAAAAGAATAAGTAAAAAATGGCAAAAGAATAATAATAAGAATATCAGCAAATAGTGATCTAACGAGGTCTTTAGAGGTTAGTTGTGTCATGAATTTTTAAATAATCTGGGTAAGAATTAGCAATGTTTTCCAATTGATAGAGCATTAACCGCAAGCATAATTGACATTCGGGGTTGTCATTTTGAGGATAAATGCTTATTTCGGCTGGCAAATAAGTTATTTTACAGTCGTCTTTATAATAAAGTTGGAAAAAGTTAACCGTGCCGTTAGTAATGGCGGAAATAGCCGCACAAACAATATCCTGACCTTTTTCGGCAAAATTAGCATGGTCTTTAATGATAATGTATTTAAAATTATTCCCCTTATCTTTTTGGTAGAGAACTTGGGTCGGCATATTTTATTTTTTTGTTATCGGGTCAAAACGGTTGACTGTTCTCTCTACACTAACTTTTTTTCTAACTGAATTATTTTTTTAATTTTTTCTCTTCTTACTTTTTTGGATTCAAAAAAATATTCCGACAAAGATTACTACAACCAGCACTACGATCATTGGAATAATTATTTCTTTTCGTCAAAAACCTTTATCAGAAGAAGTTTGTTTTTTTAAATCATTTAATCGCTTTTTGGCTTCTTTTAAACTATTTTCTAAGTCTTTATTTTTATCTAAAATGTCTTGATTTAACTTTTCAACTTTCTCAATCGCCTTTTGTAATTTTTCTTGGTTGTCCTTGGCTTGGTCCAATTCCTTTTTTAAATTATTAATTTCCTGTAGGGTAGGTTGGTGGTTGCCCGGACCATTCGAACCATTTTCGTCTCTCTCTCTCTCTCTCTCTCTGCCTTGCTTTCCAAAGTGATTAGACCAGTAAATTTAGATTCCAAAAATATAACTAGACTTTTACCTCCCGGTTGCATACGGACTTCGGGCTTAGTCTTATCAATTAGGTTATCAAAACCATCCACATTTAACCAGACTTTTTCTTTATCAAAACTTAACTCAAAAGTTTGGTTTTTACTATCCAAAAGA